GCCGTGCCGGATACGATTCGTGAATTTGCTAAGCAAGTTTTCTATGTTGATGCTCAATATGGCGATGACAGTAACTCTGGAGGTGAAGAGTCTGCGCCATTAAAAACGATCAGAGGTGTCGGGAGACACGTGGTAAGTGGCTCTGAAATTAGCATCTATCTAAGAGCTGGACAGGTCCATGAGGTAACTGGATTTGGCTTTTATATGTCAACGGGAATGATTGGGTTTCATTGCTGGGGAGATTATCAGACATATGGAAAACCAGAGATTAGGTTCCGCCCCGTGTTTGATCAGGAAAAAAATAGCTATCGAGGATACGTTGTAGGTTTGTCCACGGGAAACATCGTGTCCCGCTTCTGTGACCTAACAGTAGATTTTGATGCGTTATTAGGCACTTTGGATACGCAGGCATCTTTCTTTGCTTACTCAAATANATACCTGTCGCTGTGTAGCGTTGAAGTCGTTGAAAACTCAACTTCATACGCCAAACTCGTCAATAATCGAAATGGCACTTACCACACCATGAAATTGGATGTCTATAACACAGCTCTTGTGGGTGATCTAACGTGGAGGGATCTAATAGATGTCTATCCCGACGGCCGGAACGTACTGAGCAACATTAATTTCACCGCTATTTAATGATAAAGAGGGTTGTAAATATGATAATTGATAGTGTGATTTATGATGGTCGTTCCTACTGGAATGTGGATTCTGACACTACAAAGTTACCTACGAGTATCATTCTGGGAGAGGCTAAGAAAAAAACCTATGTTGATATCGACACCGCTGCAGGTAACGCCCGCGCCGCGTTCGTCAGCCCCGGCAGTTACATCGACCAAGAGTACCTGCTCGCGAAACAAGAAGCGGCGGCTTGGCTAGAAAGCGGCAAAGACGCAAACGCCATCCCCTCCAGCGTCAGTGACCACATGGCCATGTTTGAAGTGGGTGCCGAAGCCGCCGCCACCGAGATCGTGACAACCGCCGAGCAATGGGAGCAGGCACTCGGGGCTATTCGCAGCGCTCGCCTGGGTGGGAAAGCGGCAGTGCAACGTGCCGTGACTATCGAAGCGGCAGAGGCCGCCGCCCAACAAGCTATTGAGCAACTCAACCGCTTCCGGCCAGACGCCGCCTAAACTCATCGCCTAGCCCAGAACGACCAAGCCCGCCTATTTCGCGGGCTTAATCATTCAATCATATTACTCTCTACCAATTTTCAGATCATAAGATAATCCACCAAATTCTCTCTCTACTTTTGACAAAATAGTATTGCAATATTCCACACCTTCACGGCAGTATTTTTTAACTTCACTCCTACTATAAGTAGGGTCAGAGCTGTAAGGGTTTTCCAAATCAATATGACACGCTCTTATATAAGAAATGGCAAAGAAACGCCTTGTAACACAATTCATATAAAGCGTTGTAACATCATCANACAGCCATTTCACAATTTAAAAAAAAGTTTTTAAACAACCAAACTTCAAGACCTAGAACTTTTAGGGACAGTTTTCTAAGCTCTTCACTTTTATTCTTGTCGTTACGTTTCTTATCCTCATTTATTTTCCAAGGCACATAAACTGCCACAAGGACTGCACAAATCGTACCTATTGCCTGCACCCAGACAGGATCCCATGCAGATAAATAAAAACCATTTTCTATCAATAATGGTAGAAACCCAGCAGGTATGGTAACAGCTACCAAAATACCCCAGCAGTACCAAGACTTTTTTTCCATAAATAATTTTCCTTTAAAGCACAATAAAAACACATAGAATTTTCAGCAAACAGAATTCTCAGTAT